ATTTTGCTAAATACAGTGTTGTCAGTCAGTGTTGGCTACACATGTTACAGTAGTTCTAAAATCTTTGTGCTGAGATGAAGGGCAATTGATGTGGCTCATGATTTGATATGAGTAAATTTATGGAGGCTTCTGTTATTATTGATTGGTAATGGGTTTGCTTTAAGTATAAGCTGGGATAATGATTATCATTATAGGAGCTCTAGAATGGTCACTATTTCATCAATATCCGTTTTCAGGGATTGCCATTTTGTTGTTCTTGAATACATGGGTATGTTTTTAGCTCGTAAGCTGTGATAATGATTGTAATTCCAGGGACTATATAAAAACGGTCATTATTTCACCACTATCTGTTTCTGGGGTTAAATGGACATACCGGTACTGTATTTGTGAATTTGTGGATAGTTTTTAAAAGCTGGGTTTTCAGTGTAATGTGTACATGTAATTATGCGTCCATAGAGGACTGCAGTACATGTAGGTAATTACTATTTGGAGGAATATCATTTTTTTTAATTCTTCTTTTTCTTCATGATTTTAAAATTCTTTTGATCAATATTAATGTGCTTTAATCTGTGTACCAGATATCATTACAGCAAATCATGCATTTGTTTGAGGTTGGCATGTTAAGCATATTTTACCATGAAGAAAAATAAAAGGGTAATTATTCTTGCTTACGAGTCTATTGAACAGATGATGCCTCTTGAATTGTTGATTGTCTGTGTGTGACCCATTCAAGATCTATTGATTCTTTAACCTAATAAGCCAATAGGGTCAGTTCTGGAGCAGCCTGTCATGTTTTTAAAATTTGATGATAGCGAAAGCACCTCGCCCCCTCGGATGCAGCACTGCTTGACATATAGGTTGAAAATGAATTCTTTGATTGTGAAGTCACGATGACATTCAGCGAGTAATTTGTTTTAATCAGTCGTAGGGTGTAAGGGAGATCTGTATGTGTATTAGAACTTGCTGAGGTTGATCTGCAGTTATTTCACAAGACGGTTGGTGGAGAGAGGATGGCCTGGCGATCAGTAGGAGACTACCGTAGAAGAAATTACTGGTGCCTCTAATATACTTGTGAATGGAATCAATTCTGTTGGAAAAAAATCACCTTCACTTTGGTTACTTGGAATATCATGTTTGGTTCAATATTTAGGAGAAATTACTGGTGTCTTTTGATATGTATTGAATCATTTCTGTTGGTAGAAAATGACCTTTACTTTGGTTCCTGGGAATATAGTGTTTGGTTCAATATTTAGGAGAAATAACCGGTGTCTTGTGATATTGAATCAATTCTGTTGGAAGAAAAATAATGACCTTCACTTTGGTTTATTAAACTTGGAATATGTGTCAGCTGTTCAACATTTTGATCGCTTTGCAGATTTTGGAGATCAAGCATTATTTTTGTCTTCATCTTGCTTCAATTGTTTACATACAGTACTGTCGCGATATTGATTAGAAATAGATTGGATTTGAAATCTCTGCAAAGAACCGGGAGCAATACTTCAGCCTATTGCTGGGAGGAGATAACCAGGGTTTTAGTCATATTCTAGATCTACTTGTATGCTTGTTTTCCGCATGCTTTGTGTGATCAGTAATTCTGGATTCGGTTATGTGCTGGAGAAAGGATTTCCAATATTCCATCTTACAAAAATGATGTACATGTACATGTAGCCTTGATGTTCTAAATTTTGCAAATCATCTTATCAGTCAGAATGTGCTTTAGATTTTAGAAGACTTAAGTGTTGGACTAAATAAGATGCTAGATGCTATTGCTTATCACAGCAATCATCAATCATCATACTTATTCATTGATAGTTGAATAGCGATCAGTTTTGTGATAAGATAAAAAATAGTATCTGGAATTGATTTATGTCAAATTATTTAGTAGAACATATTTCAAATTAATTTACAAGAAAAATAATAAAAATTCAATCTACAATGATAAATAGAAATGACAATATCAAATTTCAGACATGGTTTCATTTACAAGTCACAAGTCTTTCAGTTTCACAATGACAGCTAAATGCTAGAAGATTGATATAATTTGTTATTATGAGTAATCACTTTTAAAATCTAAATAATTTTTATAAAGATACTTTGTCGTCATGAATATGAATTCCAAACATTTTAGGTAGAGTACTTGTATCATGTACAGTATCTCAAGGTTCCATGTATTTCCAGATACTCCTGCAAGGCCTCGAATCGGAATTCAATCAATTCACACAGAGTATGCGTAGTGAATGTCTCATTATAATGCAGGTTGACTTGGTGAACTTCATGTTCTGATCGTATGTGATTGATGGCAAGATTATGTTACATCAACACTGACTCGTTCTACGCTATGTGATGGCGTTGCTTTCCTGCGCATGCTTGGGGTTCAGGGAGCCATTGCACCTGTGGTAGATTTGCCGGTGTTTGCGTCTCCAGTTTCCCTCCTCCTCCAAGTCCATTTGTGTACTTGTGTTGTCATGGTAACTGTTGGTACTGTAGGGATTGTTTTGCTGTAGTTATTCTCACCTGCTTTGAATAGGACCTTGGCAGTGTCTTATGATTCAGATTGTTCAATTCTTCAAGAGACTTAAAATGTTATCAAAACATACATGTACATGTACATGTACATGTACAGTACATGGACATGGTACACACCTACTGTAGACTGTATATAATTTTAATTTCAGCAGTTTTAGAACAAGATGATTTCATTTGTTTAAATCTTTGATTTGGGAGCTTGTCTCTGTGTACTACATTTATCTACAGAAGTACATGTACACATTCTAATGTACATTCATGTACATCTGTTGAGTTCCAGATACAGTTACCTCTGGCACTTGAGTAATTGCAGTTAATAGTCCTACTCTTTGGCTTTGTAGGAGGATCGGAAGTCAGTCTCTATGTATTTAGTTAATTTTAGGAATTTAACTGGTCCATGTATGGTATCGGTATGAAACTTAAATATTAAAGTGCTGATTACGATTTCTTACAGTCTGCAATTCATCTTCTGAAAGATTGTACCAATTTGTTAGTGGCTTTACCCTGTCTTTGAGTGGATCTGTCAATTAAGCAATATATATTTTTAAATTTGAAACTAGTCTTGCGTTTGTATTACCCTCTTTTAATGTTTATTTCCATTGGCTCAGCAACTCTAAACATGCACAGACATGCATTGTGTTGTTACCTCTTTCAGGCCATCACATTCTGTGGATGGTTCTTGAATATATTTGAAACTTTGTATTGCAGATATGAAGGAATGATACAACTTTTGATTTATAATACTGGAACAGACAGTCATCCCCTAATTCATCATTACCAAACAGTTGCATTTACCATCAAGAAGTACAATATGGATCTCAGAAACTTATGAATTACCATTGATTCCTGACAAGAGCAAGGACTCATTCTAATTTAATCTGTAGAGGACAGTGGTGTCACTAAAGACTGGACCCTAAATTTCCATCTTCAGTCAATTCATCAAGAAGTTGGTAAAACACATTTCCTGTATACCTTGAACTTCATAAATTGAGAACCTTAAAGGAGTACAGTCGCATCTCAAGACAGCATATGCAATCAAAACCATGATTTCTAGCGGTACAAGCCTTAAAGTACGACTTGGCTTAGATGGCTCTGCCTCGGGTGCTACGTATGCTACCAACACCCGTGCTGCCAAGACACATGCCAGGAGACAAGCAAAGAGATTGAGTCTTACCAATGTAAGAATCAGACCTGATAAAAACCTGATTTTTTTTCCCCTCATTTTATCCTGATTTTTCTGATTTTTCCATTATTTTCTCTATTCTTCCCTATTTTCCCCTATTATTTTCCAATTTTTCTTACTCAAAAGGGGGGAATGTTGTTAAATGCCATTCCCCCCCCCCCCCCCGAATCCTCTCCTTTTTTCTTTTTTTTTTACTCAAAGGGGGCGTGGTTGAGGGGGGGGGGATTTAATTTGTTTTAATTGTTTTTTTAGTGCTCACTATAACCCCTGAAGAATCAGCAGGGTAAAGTTGACATGGATAGTGTCTGCCTGGGTTTAATAAGGCTTTTGGATGAGGAATTTATAATATATGTACATGTAACAACATACAAAAAATAAAAAAAGTGTTTATTCCTTTATGCTGGGCATACAATATTTAATTTCTGCTGGGAATGTTCAAACCCCCTTCTGATTCTCAGTGTATGCTATCGTCAGCTGATAGCCAGAAGGGCGATAACTGATAACTTGGAGAGAACACCAGTTAGGCTAAGGTTTTGTACATTGCATCTTTAATAAGTACAACTTTGTCTGTTTTCTGTAGGCTAATTCTTAAGACTTAAACTTAAGTTGTTAAACCCTTTGTTGTATCCTGTGCAAAATACCCCTTAATTCTCTTAAACTCCTACAAATTGAAGATACAAAATAGCTGGGTCCACCTACTTCCTCAAAACAGCCACTTTCATCAGTAGTGCTGTTCAGACCAGTGTTACACCTTTCAAGACGCACATGTTCAGTAGCTGTTGTGCGTGTTGTCCAACGGCAGCCTCCATTCTAAATTGTTGGATAATTAAAGTGGTCAACAGACAACATATGTATCCTTTGGAATTGATCATGGAGGTTAATTATTTTGTTTTTAAAACATGATATTGTTTGAAATTTAAGCAAAGTCAGACAACAGAAAAATATTTAATTATCAGGTTGTTGATTGTAAAGAGGTATATTTAAATTCAGTGTAAAGTTTCCTTGAATTTTCTTTTATATTCTATTTTTGTTTAAAGGGGAAGTTAGATTGGGCATCACACACTTAACCCGCTACTGTATTCAAGATGAAGGAATCCAGCTTGAAGGTTGTTGCATACTTAATTGTTTTTTGTACAAATGAAGATGCCCCTGTTTATACTGGATATATACAGTGTACACGTACATGTACAAGTAATATCCTGTTTTTCATGAGAAGACTGTCTGTGTTGCTCTAGAAATGTATTTATCTCTGCAAGACATTTTTTTAATATCTTTTCTTTGTCTTTGACAGGCCAAGAGCGATGAACAGCTGGCCCAGGAGAAGGCGTGGCTGGAGGCGGAGAGGGTGTGGTTGGTCCACCGAGGGGGCTTCTCCTCAGCCAAGAGACTGGCCAGGACGCCCAATGGGGTATCAGCAGGCGAGGATAGCAACCAGCTGATGATGGGCGAAGGAAAGGTCAAGGTCAAACTGGAGCAAGGTGAAGAGGTTCTGGAGGTGGAGGAGGAAGATGTAGAGAAGGTGAGATTCTTATTTTTTTACCTTTTTATTTAATTTTTTTATTGAACAAAATAACAACATACAAATAAAACACCAATTATGAACGATGCACCATTAAAAGCAAGCCTTAAAGTGCCAGCCAAAACATCTGAAAGGGGCCGAATTAAATGATTTTAACCTCCGGTTGCTGTCATAGTGAATCACTCATTAGACCTTTACAACAAAGGATGTTGTATTGCCCTTTAGGTGCCAAAGCATCGGTTGGTCGGTAAGAACTTTAAAAAAAAATTCAAAAAAAAATTCTTCTTTTCTCCCTCTTACATTTCAGTTTTTAATGCTTTCATATTTTTTCACTTAAAAACGGTAAAAAAATAATAAATTAAAAGCCGATCGTAGATTTCAAGATTTTTGGGTCGGTCGCAAGAGCAATACAACATCTTTTTTGTAGGCCTTATACAAGAATGGCCATGACTATGTGTCATAAGAAAGATATAAACTAGAGGTAAAGTAAACCATGAGTACACTGACCACTTCCTCAGAGGACTTGATACTTTGCCCATTTTCTTTCTCGAGGTATGACATTTTCAATTCTCTGTTTACAACTTCCAGTTTACTACAGCTTAAGCATTTCAAAATTGAACCTTGAAATTTCGCATTTAGATATTTTAAATATAGGCCTATATTTGATTTCATGTTTTTTCAACTTACAACTAGAGGACGTTAATTCTGTGTTTAAGGATATGATATATCCCTTCTGGATCTCGTTAGAAATGTATATTTTTTGTACTTTGATTAATAATAAAAATGATAGTGAACATTTGTAATGACACCCGTCGCCCAGTTGTGAGAAACTGGTATAATTGTAGGCATACATCTACAGTATAAAGTTATTCAAGACAAGAAAGCAAGTTAACATAATATTAACATATTTCAGGACACGATTTTCCATTTTATCGATTTTATTTTGATATTTACCCAAAGATATTCTCACAAATTATAGCCCAATATACTTCAGTGGTCATTTTAAAGGCATGCATGTTGCTATGAAACTAAATATCAAGAATTTTGTTGTTGTTAAATATTGGGGTTCATTTTTTATTTGGGCCAGTTAGTTTGTTTGTACCTGCCCCTTCACAGAACACATATACAAAGGGACAAGGAGCACTGATTGATAGAGATAACATTACAACATTGAAATCATATCTTGATCACTTAAGTGACATTAATTAATAAAACAATTTTTTTTTTTAAAGTGTGGGAAAGAAAGAAAAGTATGGGAAGTTTTTATCCTAGGATGTAAAAGATTTTAGCCTACGTGAGAATTAGAACATACTGCTGAATGAAACAATGGGATTTCAGTGCCACTCTTTCACCTCGGTGACTTTGCTTCGTGAGATTATGATATCATTTAAGATTAGCAAAAAGGAAACTGGATCAATTTGTGTAGCTTCATAGTTATCGAAAACAAGGGCAGAATAACATTGGTCATTAAACAGATAACAAGGTAATTCGACCATCAAAAAAACAAGGATGATAGATTATCTACATGTATGAGAGCACAGTTTGATGGAAGGGGGGGGGGGTAGATACTTGTAAAATGAATGCAGGAGACAGAAGGCCTATGAGTATTGGAGGATATTAGATTAATATAAGAGACAGAAAATATGTATTATGAACCTGCTGTTTTCTCAGTCATCCAGCATTGTCTTATCAAGTACTCATCAAGAGTTGAATCATGCATTGAGGTGACGGTATACTCATGAGTCGTGATGTAGAGAGAGAGAGAGAGAGAGAGAGAGAGAGAGAGAGAGAGAGTCAGAGAGAGAGAGAGTCAGAGAGAGAAAGAGAGAGAGAGAGTCAGAGAGAGAGAGAGAGAGGGAGGGAAGGGGGGGGTATAGTTTCGGAGGATATGAAATTAATATTTAGAGACAGATTACACTCATCAAGTGCTGAATCATAAATGTATGTGTGTACTTTATAGGTAGAGAGACAAATTAAGAGAGAGAGAGAGAGAGACTCAGGGCCCTGTTACAATTTGAATTTTTTAACTGAGCAGGGCTTATCATGAGCACGCTTTGACGATTGAATGCCATGTGAACGGATCCCTTAAAGGGGAAGTCCACCCTGAAATTAAGTTAGTTTTAATAGGAGTAGAAAATTGAGAGAAACGAGTCAGTGAAAGTTTGAGCAAATTCCAATTAAAAATAAGGAAGTTAGGATTTTTGAAGTTGTAATCAATCAAACACAAAGTGGCAACTCTATGACGTATCATGCGAGCTCAACTTCCATTTGCTCAGTACTAAAAAAATCTAAAATTTTCATTTTCCCTCAAGAAAAATTTCAACCATACATGCAACCTAAATATAATAATTGCAAATATGTTTCTATACTCCCCCTGCAAGGAACAATATTCCGTCATCAATAACGAAGAAAACATGATTTTATGGAATATTATGCACAAAGCAAATGAAGGAGAGCTCGTATAATAAGTCACAGAGTTGCCAATTTGTATTTGATTGATCACAACTTCAATAATTCATAACTTTCTTATTTTCATTCAGAATTTGCTCAAACTTTCACTCACCTGATTTTCTTATTATTCTGCCTCTATCGAAACAAACTTATTTTGGGGGTGGACTTTCCCTTTAAAAACTAGTTTCTTTACACGATATTGCTATTGGGTGTGAACGTCCCTTTGCTATGCAATGTTTTTGTATACGTTTCTTCCTACGTGTTTCATATGTATTTGCTCTAGATTGAACAGTCACAAGGCCTGTTCTCATCAGCTTGAGATTGCCAAATAACCCACTATTTTAACTATCCCGCGTCCTCATCAGGGGTTTAATCATCCCAAGATACATTGTATCTTGGGCAATATCCCGCTATTTGTCCGGTGCGTCTTCACCAGCCCGAAGACTCGTACTATGCGCGAACGCTGAGCAAAATATCTCGAGCTTATTTCCCTAATCAGATATAGCGGGCTATTTGGCAATCTCGAGCTGATGAGGGCATACCTAGAGAGAGACAGAGAGAGACAGAGGCCGGGAGGTAAATAGAAAATGAATGTATATGAGACAGTATGTTTTTTCAACCTGCTGTTTTCTCACTCCTCGCATGGAGGGTTGAATCATCCTTATGAAGAAGGGCGGCTCAATGATTTCATGATGAGACATCCAAGGTGAGACAGACACATACATTCATAATCAATTGATATGTATGTCACCTGGGGATGATGGCTGAAAGGTAGACGGAGCCTAATTTCATTGACAGTTTCATCTGGAAAACCACTGATGGGCTCCAGATTGTGAAAAAGGTGACTGGCAAAAGTAGATTTTTTTAAAGATTATAAATGAGCCACATGCGATTCAGCTAAAATAGTAGTTGCACCCTGCGTTGATGGCCGAGGAATTGAAGATACATGAAATTTGAATATTGATATCTTTATTCTTGTATATGGCTTATACTTTCAATATCAAAACGTCAGTTTGGAGCCAGACATCCATTAAATCATTTAAAATGCAGAGTGAAAACCCCTCTGCCACTCAATAAATGATAATTCATTCTGTGCACTTCCAAGGTGCTTTGAAAATGATAACCCCTATCTTTTACCTCAGATGGCAACCATTATCTCTGTGTTGTGCATATTGCTGAGTATTTCCTACAAATGTAGATTTAGCCATTGCCCACAGAAACCAGGTAGCTCCTGTATTAAAGCCTATGGGATTGAAGAATTTAGTAGTCAGTTGGTTTATAGTGCCTCTCTGAAGGATATTGGTGCCATATGGAGGTTTGAACCAATAACCTGCACTCTTTTCTAGTGTTGACTGACACATGTCAACATGTGTTACTTTTCACATTTCGGAAACTGTTTTTTTCTTCATACATTGAGGCACTTATGTTGTTGGTTCCTGTGAGCATAAAGATAAGGTATGGATGAGATCAGCAATCTTTACTGTGCCTATCATCTAAAATGACGGTTCAGCTTCTTTAATATGAGCTAGTGATAAGGTCTTTATAACACAATTTCCTACAAGTGGAAATACTAGAAGACAGTGAAGTCCAGTTGAGAAGTGCAATGTTATGATCAATTTCCCTTGCCCTATTTCAGAAGAAGTACATAATGCTTATAGCGCTCAGAGAACCCACCTTCTCCACCGAAAATAGTTTTTAGAGGAAACATAACCTCAAATCTAATTTTAGATCTGTAGACATCAACGTTATCATAAAATTCAGATTAATAGTTACTTGAATAAAAAAAGGATATGTAAAAGGAAGGGGGAAAATGAAGTGGTAATGAGAGAGAGAGAGAGAGAGAGAGGGAGGGAGAGGGAGAGGGAGAGAGAGGGAGAGGGAGAGGGAGATAGAAGAAGAAGGAGGAGGAGAAAGAGGAGGATGAGGAGGAGAAGGAGAAAAAGAAGGAGGAGGAGGAAAGGATTTTTTTCAAAAGAAGATCAATAGTGCGGTGATTAATTTTGCCAAGACTAACGATGTGAAAGAAAATGAGGACCAATATTCCTGGTTCAGTGCTGATTGATACATGAACTGAAACCCAATCAATCACTATGTTAATCCAATTGATGTGCTGCCACATGATTGTACTTCATAATAATATACAATTCTAATTTCTTGTTCTCAGTTCCCTCTTAAACTTCATTCGTATGTAGTTATGTACACATCTATGGATTACAAGACTAGTCACTTCCTGCTCCATTAATTCCCTTTTAAAGCAAATATACATAATGTACAGATTTCGTTGTAAATGCACATGTACATGTACATGTATGTAAAGTACAATGAACTTTGTCAGGATACTCCCTGATCTAGTTATCACCTATATTGCAATTATTCCTCTGTAAGTCTTCACAAAGACCTACATATTTGAACAGCAATTGCAAAGAAATCTGACGTACTCGATTGTGAAATTGCTTTTGAAGGGATTCTCTTCTTCTTATTGTGATTCAGCCCATTGAAATCAATGTGGTTTTGCTTCAGTGAGTGAGGGTAAACAATCACAACGGAATGCTTTTTAAATATTGACTCGTAAACATTTGAATACAATATATTCTTTCCGAGTTCCTCCACACCTCAGACTATAGCCGACTTGAATTAAATTCATTTATTTCATTCCACTTTGTAGCATAAAACGGAACAGGAAAATTTGATATGACAAGATACACGTACATTAGAAAAATAAAAAATAAATAATTATACAGATAAAATATTGTTGATTGCCCTGAGTTCAGATACAGGTATACAATGATTAATTTACAAGTATTCATCATATTATTTAAACATACATTTTGAATCACATAACATATACTAGTTAAAGACAGAACATTGTTCACATTGGTGACTCTCTTATTGTGCAGCAGTGTGTGGTATCATTATGTTCATGTAATTAATGTAATTAGAATCCTTGATCATCTATATGCCCTTCATACCTATCCATCATGACATACATGTAGAGGCAGGGGGTGCATGCATGCAATTAGGAAGGGGCCATGATTATCAGCCCACAGTCAGCTTATGGAAGGTTTATGAAATATTTATGGGTTTATGTTGTGGTATAAATATAATTATGGTTTTGTATTGTAGTATTTGGTATATATAAATTCATTGAGGTATAGTTCAAATACCAATTAAGCTGTGACTATACATGTAAGTACAACAACAGTAGCTCAAGCTTACACAGCACTTTTTTTCTTCTTATTTGCGTTATCAAATTTCCACACTATTACCAAAGATTTTGAAATACATAAACATACCATTTACCCTCATCTTCCCTTGTTAAATGGTTCCTTCTCTCTTCTCCACCCTCCCCACCTCTTTTTTGTTCCTGCCCCACCCCCTTCCCCTTCCCTAACTCCCTTCTCTCACTGCTCAAACTATCTACTCCCCTTTCCCACCCCCTCTCTCTTTATCTACCCCAAACTCAGCTCCCATTCTTTCTGCACTCTATCCACCATATTACTAGTCACTCTTCTGTAGAGTCATATTGCTCTCTCCAAAATGTCATGTGAGGCCAATTTTACCATAAATTTCAATTCAGGTGTATGAACCTGTACCGACTCTTATGCATGTGCATCAGCTCAGCAGGCTGGCACTGTGAATCTGCAGTGGAGCATGTGACTTGTCACATGACTGGTTTCTCACCGGGGCACCTGATACCCAATGAGGTGTGAATACAGCCACAACAATGTGTGTGCTCTGTTCATGTGTAAACCTATCCTCAACACCCTGGCTTCCACATGTGCAGTACGAGCTCAACACTGTATGTAACAGGTTCTGCTCATCACGTTTAAAAGCTTTCATTATAAGCTGTTATGAATTTTAAATTGTGATATAACTGGGCACATAAAATAAAAAATAGATGTGATGAAAATGATATGTGGGTGCAGTGCAAGTCTGACTATTGAAGGGGTACTGGAATTGTTGGAGGGGGAGGGGGGGGGGGGGGTAGGGGCACCAGTCTCGTTCTTTGGATGAAATGCAAATTAACAAGGCCTCTTATTGGGGTAGGTTATGGGAGGGGGTCTACTCTTATCATGATCTTTTTACATTCCCTTTCCCCTCTTCAACTCTTTTCCTTTATTTTCCTTTTTTTTTTCCCCCTCAATTTTTTTCCTCAATTATTTTTGGTTTGAGGGTGGGGGTATTTGCTCCTGAGTAGCTTTACCTCTATAAATGGAACCAGAAATTTGTTGCTTTCTCATAAAACTTGTGCATATTCCCTTTTGAATACAATGGACTTTTAATGTGTACGATAGTCACATGCACGAAAGTGGCAGTCCTTCATGATGTGTATTTATGGGGTAAAGGGCGATCTTTACATCAAACAACTTTGTTGTGGAATTTTCATTGATTTTGACCTTCTCTATTCCTTGAAATTGAAATGAGCCTTCCAAAAAAAAGAAAAGGTTCGAGCATGGAGGGCTCTTTGTGGGATTAAGTTTGCCATGCACTCCTTGTTATAAATTTGCAAGCAAATACAATCTTTGTGTAACAAATGACTCTGTACTTCATCATGACATTTTTGACAAATCTCTTTCCTTTGATCTTTGCATGAACGCCAAAGTCCCCATTAACACATGCTTGTAATAAGGAAGTGCAACGTTCAAGTTTGTTTGCTAAATGGTAATATGAAGTAGAAGAAATCTATGAAGGCATTTACATAATTATATATACTTTTCACAAAAGTGCACATTGTACCTTTATGTGTTTGCATTGAAATGAAAATTAAATATGAACATTTTTTTTTTTTTTTTTTTTTTTTTTTTTTGGGGGGGGGGGGGGGTTGTTGTTGGTTATTTATCAATTTGTTTTATTGCAGTCATGGCTTTAGAGTTCAGTACATTGCAAAGGGGTATTAAAACATGGTTAATGTTCACAACATTTTTTCCCTGAATAAAACCATAAACCTGATATATTACAATGCGTATATATCATTTATCATGTGACCTCATTTAGACCAATCAGATTGCAAGATTCTTAGTATGCGGGATATAAAGTACAATTAATGTTCAGAGTAAAATCACACATTCAAGATAAAATAGGGATGTACAATACAATCAAACCTGCTTTAGTGACCACCTGTCTACAAAGATCATCTATCTAAAACACGCGCATTTTTTGTTTCCCTTGAAAATGGTTTCTCACTGAAACATGTACTAAAGGAACCTGTCTACAAAAACCCTTTTTGTGTTTCCCTTGAGTGGTCGCTATAGACAGGTTTGACTGTTTATTGATTTTTTTTTTTAAAGAATTACCATGAACAGTATCATCTGCTAAGAACCAGTAGGGGTGGTAATTAATACCCTTAAGACAGTTAACATACTTTTATTCTGCTTCTGAGTTCTAACTCCCCACGAACAATAATATAACATTTATTACAAGTCAGAATTATAAAATGTGTATAGCGTATACATGATATATGATTTATGTCTCTTATCCAATGATATTGACTGTCTAACCTACCTGTTTGTGTTTCTTCAAGGTGATTTTCAGCTTGACCTTTGCCCTAAGCTAGTGTATTTCAAGGGTCACTGTGAAGGTCATGCTATCCAATCACTGTAAACTAATATATCAATGTCATGCCATCATTATTCTTGACTGAGAACTTCTCATGTTATACAAATATGAATTGATTCAAAATATCTGTGTTTTAGGTGTATTCTTCTCCATCTCCTACCTATTGTTATTTTATCAAGTTTTTGTTTTGTTTGTTTTCTTCTCCAGTATGAATAATTTAATGGCTAAATGGAGAGAAACAGGGTCAAATTCATATATGTTAGAGACTTGATTGAAGATTAATTTCAAACAGAATTAAAAATTCTCTTGGAGAGTTGATTGAAGAATTTTATTTTTTATTTTGTTGCAGTAATTGTTGTTGACAGGCATGCTTTTCATTTATTGAGGAATTCCTTTTCTTCAATTATTGTAAAAAAAATCTTTTCTATATCATCTTAAATGTAATGTGTTTTGGATAGTAGGATGTCATGAGAAATAGAGGTTAATTGTATTGTCCAAAATATGCTAAGTTTGTGTGCCTTGATACATATAAGTCATAATATATGACACTTTGCTACATAATGTTACAGAAATAATAATTATTTAAAGAGGCTTTAGATTTAAAAAGAGAAAGTTGGGTTCAGGGAAAAGTGTAAAATAGTTTGTGATCTTTTTCATCTGTTTATGTTAGTAGAGTATCCCTTAAAATGATGGCTCTTCAAAAGGCCTCATATTTAAAATATGACAACAAGTAAGAGCTAAAGGTTGTGCACCACAATGTTCATTCCACATGTTTGTGTAGTCTCTGTTTTAGTGCCTGACCCTTCGCAAGACTGAGCCAATTTCTTATTTATTTTGATGATTCCAAAACCACACAGTACTGACCAATTCTTATGCGCTACATGATCAACCTTTCCAGTTGCCTTCACACTGTTTCTTTTACAATTGCAAGTGCATGACCATAACTCAACAGTATCTTTAACACAATTTGTTTGTATATTTTCTTGTATGTTTAGGCCAACCCTCCTCAATTCGACCGAGCCGAGGATCTAGCAACCCTGCAGTTCTTGAATGAATCAAGTGTCCTCCATACCCTGAGACAGCGCTATGGAGCCAACCTCATCCATAGCTACGCCGGGCGCAACCTGATCGTCATCAACCCTACACACCAGCTTTCTGTCTACTCGGACAAGGTAAGAACTCTTTAGGATGTGTTAATCAGAAGTCAAATTGGGGTGCGTTTAAGCGACACTTTTTCACCCAAGAAACACGGTTTTCAAAGACGTTTAGTTTAAAACGCGGTTGCGTTCAAGCGATTTCAAGCAATTTTTTGTCAGTTGTAAGAAGAAATGTGTTTCAAAACGCAAACATAAAACGCTGAAAAAGATGCATTTTGTAACGTAGCTCGCTTGAATGCAACAGAGATCTCAATCATGATACTATGACATAATTATCGTGGCCTGCTTCTGGTTTGACCGACAGTCGACCGTAAACAAATTCAGAGAGCGCATGCCGAAGTTGACCTATACTACTTTGATGCGCAGTGGCTATGCTTACATAAGCAAGATTCAGTGTTGATGGAAAATTGATCGATCGATCTCCCACAGCAACTGTGTTTTGTAAAGGCGTTTTCTATTTGTGATTCATGTTTGTGATTCTAGCTTTAAAAAATTGCTTGAACGCACCCTTGATCTGTTTGTTAATGGTAGGTAACAATCATAGGGTCTAATTAATAACCATAATCATCCACCTTTAGGCAAGTGTCAGATTGGATTGAGAAATTCATTGTCCAGTGTTTCTGTGATAAGAGAGCAAGTTCTTTCCTCAGCCACAACAACGAGACCAATGCCAGACTGACAGAAAATACCAAGAATCGGTTCGGTTTGGATTCAGTTTGGAGTCAATTTGGTGTTGACTGAGAAGCAGAAAACTTGATTGCGTCACTTCGCATTGGGAAGGAGCATAGGAACAGGCTCTTTTTTATTAGCATGTCATGTCGCATATCATCTGCGTGGAGCCAGAAGGGTGTTAAAGGTACTATGTCCCATTTGCAGGCCAAACAAATGAAAAAGTTAAATTCCAACTGCATTTGAACGATAATACTAATTTAGAACTTCCCTAAAAAAGGTGGGGCTTGAAAACGTCTTCAAGTGGGAAATTAACGACTATTAGTTGTCAAATCGACTTTAGGGCTATAGAGCCCAAAAGTAATAGTCTTGATTTTCAGACAATTGTACCGAATGGTCACACGTTTTATGCTGGGCAAAGATTCAATCAGTTTAATCTTGGCCATCACAAGAAGTGGGTTATTGATGTAGACAAATGCTCATGTACACTTTACAACTCTTTTCATGTATGTTATTACCAAAGAAGAAAAAAAAGCCAGTCAGTCACTCAATAGTGTCTGACAGTGAAGTCTAGCAAGTAAACAGGTTTCCTTGCATAATTTGAATATGAGGACACTGCAAACGTTTAAATTTCACAGATAGGACATACATGACATATTCATAATTCCTGGAAAGTTCTACAGAATTTGAGGTTGGCTGCAAAAGGGACATAGTACCTTTAACTTAACCCATTTATTTAACGTACAGTGGAAATGCCCATGTGGCTCTAGACAGGTGGCATGACCCATGACTAATTATGGAAACAAATCCATCCTAACAATGATTGCATGGTTCATACATTCTGTTCAAGCAGATATGTCCTTGTCATATAACTGTCATTAGAAACAATTACCATATAACTGTAGCTTATCACGATTATCTCACAATCTTTAACAACTGTAAATCTACATTTATTATAACGGAGAGCAACAGGGGGTATAAGAGGGCAGATGCCCCCACTCCCACCCCCTCCCCAATCAAATGATGAAAAGAGACAACAGAGGGAAAGAGAGATAAGAAAGGAAAAGGGTCAAGCCAAAGTAAAGAGAAGGTGGTTGCACCTTCTTCTATTTCCTCACATTATGCAATGACTTTGATCTTTCTTATTTCACCAATTGATATTGATGCCTCCCCCCCCCCCCCCCCCCCCCCCCCCCCCCCTCACCCTGTCACTGGTGCCCCCTCCTGGGTGCTGGACCCACATTATGTCCATTTTAAGTCACCCGACTGCAGATCACAAGGTACGGGGTTCAAATCCCGCCGCAGCACTAATGTCCTTTGGCAAGACGTTAATCTACATTTGCCACTCTCCACCCAGGTGTAAATGGGTACCTGATATGCTTGAGCGCTAGTTACTTTGGCAGCTCGGCTACGACCAGGGTAATATGTGTAAAGCGCCATGAGCGTCAGAACCTGGCGGATACCGGCGCTATATAAATAACCATATTATTATTATTATTATTATTTTACACCACTGGCTATTAAAGATTACTCAAGATGTACATGCATTTGGGGGGAAAAACTGAAATGTTGAGATTTCCAATCTCATACTGAAACTTCATATCATTCAGAATGATCTGATGAATACACAGATATGTTTTCTGAGGTTTTTTTTAATAGGTACATATATGAAAACAAACTAAAACTTTTTATGAAGGCATATGGAAAATAAAGGAGAACTTCAACTTAAATGTTTGAGTAAGGAATAATTTATTTTTTAAATAGTCATTCAAGGACACTTATACTTCAAATTAATCATTTAAATTTTGGGACAGTATCTCTTCCTCATGGATTATCATGTATACACAGGTATGGACAGAAACTAAAACGCATATATGGGCATATATAATCAAAACTAATGGACATGGCCAGTTGGCCACTAATACCTTGTTGAAGTACAAAAACAAAATACTTTAGATTCAGTAAATAGTACTTGTACTTTCAGTAGCATAATTAAAACCACAGGGCACTTATACTTGAAAGTACAACAAAAAATTATAATCTAAATTTAGACAGTATCTCTTCCTCATCGATTATTGTGTAAGTTGTGCTTACAGAGTAAATATTTAGGTATGGAAAGAAACTACAACTTTTATAAAGGCATAATAAAAACTAAATGGCCACTAATACTTTGCTTAAGTACAAAAGAGAAATAATTCAGATTTAAATAGTACCTCTTCCTCATAGGTTTGTTCTGTAAGTCAAGCATTCGGAGTTAAAAGACAGGTATCAAAAGAGACCCCAAAACCTGTCTATGTAGGCATAACGAAAACTGCCTGGGCAAAAATTTGATTAATGAATATAAATCATTGTACTTTGAATAATATCTCTTCTTGATGGATAAATCTGTAAATCTTGCTTTCGATGCAAATTTTGGAGTACTAGGTTGCAGTGACCGAATGACTCACTTTGTGAAAATGGAGTTTAAACATGATAAGTTGAATCTCTTCACAGTGGGAGTATCATTTCCAAATCGTCTGTCTATCACCCAATAACTGTTCACAAGTACATTTAGTTTGCGAGGGTGAATTTAAAGCTTTGGAAGAAATGGGGTGGGATAGATGTGACTAAGTAATGAGGAGCTTGCAGGAGCAGATTGTGAATTAAATGAAGAATCCAGAGTAGACAATTAGATTGAGAAGTAATTTTTATTGGAAGAAATTGATCTGAAGAAAGAAATATTAAAAAGAATAAGATAGGTAGTGCAATTTATCAAACTCTTTTTTACCCTCTCTTTCATTGCACAATTAGGGATTTTTTTCCTTCTTTTTCATGGTAGACCCTTAGCAGTGATTCTAGGCATGGCTGAGTCGATGCAAAAAGAAACGGGAGCTCTTCAATATTTCATCTCAAGTTCCATCACACTTCTTTTGTGATGCAAAGCTATCAGCATGACACTATATATGGCCCCTGTTTGTATATGAAAGAGAGATATTCAGCGCTCATGTTCCAAGTTGAAATTTGATGATGTTATTAATGCAAATAGGAAAATTTATCTTCTGTATTTTGGTTTTATAATGTAGCAATTGCTCCACCAATTTGAGCATAGCGTCTGTTCATGTGCTTTGAATGTGCTATGAATGGGAGCAAGATCAGCCCTTGGGTTGTGGGCGTAATTTGCTTGAGCATATAATGAAGATTGCAATTGAGACATATGGCTCTATAAGCTGAGCCATTTTAAGTAGTTGAGATTTATTGGTTATTAGATGCAAAATGAGAGTAGAGTGCTCATCTTCCTGCTTGGTACTTTGTGTCACTTTCATTCATCTAATGAGACAGATTGTAACTTGATATGATGCTTTCACTTGAAGGTTCTTCCTTACCTCTCTTCTCCTTCCCCTCCCTTGCTCTCTTCTTTGTCTACTTGTAGTCGTCACATCTCCCCTCTCTTCTTTCTCTCTTTCCCTGCCCCTTCACTCCCTTTCATTGTCTTGCTTTCTCTATACCTCTGTCCTTACTTTCTTGTTCTCATTTCTCTCTCTTCCTCCCCTTGCCCCCTCCCCTTCTATCATTGCCTCTGTGTCTCCCTGTCTGTCTGTCTCTCTCTCTCTCTCTCTCTCTCTCTCTCTCTCTCTCTGTCTGTCTGTCTTTCTTTCTCTGTCTGTCTGTATATGTCTGTCTCTCTCCCTCTCTATCTATCTCTATCTATCTATCTATCTATCTATCACTCTCTCCCTTTCTGCGAATGTCTGTCTCTCCCTCTATCTTTCTGTTTTGCCCTTGCTCAATTTATATTACGGTTTGCTAAATTGCACAGTACGTTCATGATGTAATTAGAACTAATAATTCACTCAGCCCAAATACACATGAAGGTCATACATTATGGCCTTGCTAATATAAATTGATTAATATAGTTGCCTGCAATGCCTGCATAATTTCTCATTCAGTGACATTAATCATCATAGTCATTGGATCAATACAGAAAGAGGTCAACCTTGTTTAATATATATTGATTTGAATTATTCACTGTTACTGCATACACATGGTGAAAACTAGAAGAAAAATAGATATCAGATATAGATTTTATAATTAAACCCATTTGTGAAGACGCTTTACATAATAAGTACCAGCGTTATATGAGGGACTTTTGACTAAACCTGTATCTGGTTACATTACACAGTCCCCAAGCTTGTATTTAATTAGTTACAGAAACCAGTGATGATACCTAATGGATGTATATATATATATATATATATATATATATATATATATATATATATATATATATATATTACTATTTAAAGCACAACTGATAGTGTGTTTGAAGGATAATAAATTTAGCTTCATCATCTAGTAATGTATTCACA